TTTTTTTTTTTTTTTTGGTAAATATGGGGTCTATGTTGCCCAGGCTGGTCTCAAACTCCTGGCCTCAAGTGATCCTCCCACCTTGGCCTCCCCAGTAGGCTGGGACTGCCGGTGCTCGCCACTGCACTGGGCTGATCACTGACTATGTGTGAGATATTTAGCAATAAAAACAAGTTGAAAAAGAAAAGGAAGCCATAAATCCTAGGTCAGGGCTGCTCCCAGCAGCCTCTGGGGGGCGCTCTGGGGACACGGGTGGGTACCGGAGGGCAGGCTGATGTGGCTGCCGCCTTCCCGCAGCTTGAGCAGGCGGCTGCGCTTGAAGTTGCCCTTGCGCTTGCGGACCCGGGGCTTCTCCTGGCTCAGTTGGCACATGAGCAGGTGCAGCTCCCTTTCCACGATGTCCATCTCGCGTTCTGCCAGCTCCTGCTCCCGCCGCCGCAGCTGCTCCTCCTGGAAGCGCTGCTCCTGCGCCGCCCGCAGCAGCTCCTCCTCACGGCTCCGAAGCTCCTGGGGAGGAGAGGAGGTGGCTGGGGGGAGGGGCTTAGCTGTTCCGCTTCCTGGGGAGGGACCCAGGGCTGCTGGGTCTGGTTGGTGCCTCACACAAGAGTACCTTGCTGTGGGGCATATTAGGTTCACCATCCGACTCATGCTTTGCTATCCAAGCTGGGTGCCAGGGCAGGGAACTGTGTTAGCCCAAAGAAAGGGGTGCTTTTCTTTCTTAACTCTTCAATTTAGGAAACTTCAGATATCCACAAAAGCAGAGAACAGTGCACCCCCCTGTACCCATCACCCAACTTCAACAATTACCTATGCTTTGCGAATCTCGTATCCCCGTCCTTCTCTCCTCTGGCCCTCTCTTCGTTTCTGCTGTAGTATTTTAAAGCCAACCCCAGACATCATGCAGTGTCACCTGTAAGTACTTCAGTACAGGGTGCCTTTTTCTTATTAATCCACCAACAGGAGGCTGTCTTTTCTTAATATGCAAAAAAGGCCCCCTTAACCCTGCATGGACCCAAAGGCTGGGGTTCAGGGGAGGGGTCTCTGAGCAGCCCAAGGCATCAGAACTCAGGGGTCTTGCTCCATCTTTCCCACCTTGCCCCCTGCCTTCACCTTCTCCTTGGTCCGAAGGTCATCAAACATGTGCTGAATCTCCAACTTCCAGTCTTCCTGCAGCGAGTGGAAGGACTCCAGTGGCATCTGGAACAGGGCTGACTGTTCGATGACTTCAAGCCGCTTCAAGATGCTGCCGAAATCTGGCCGCCCATGGGGGTCTGGGTCCCAGCATTCTGGGGTGGGAGGAGGAAGGACAGTGGTCGGGGGTGGAGGTGTCAGTGGTCACGTTCTGGGAACTCAGCCTGCTCAGAGGAAGGCAGAATTTCTGGGGACAGCAGACAAACAGCTGCTATGGAGCTGAGAGGAAGGGATTCAAAGCCAAGCTCCTGGCCAATTCCACTCAGTGAAATGCTGGGAGAGAAACCCCGGGGCCTGCACCCCGAGGAGAAGCTGGTGGTGCAGTCAGGATCACAGCGGAATCCCAGGGCCAAGGAGTCCTAACAGGTGGTCCTGGAGAGCTCTGGGCCTGGCCTGAACAAGGGTTGGGGCATGGGGAATGGAGCCAACCATGGGGAGACTGTTTAGAGTCCAGTGAGTTCTAGTCCCTTCTCCCTCACTCCCAGGCCCACTGGTATGGATGGGTGTGAAGGGGCGAGGTCTGGGCCCACAGGTCCCTGCCACTTCAAGCTGAGCCTACCCTCGCCACAGGGCCCCTGGCTCACCCTCCAGGAGGCGGGCAAAGGGCTCGGGGCACGTGGAGGGAATGGGCAGCGTCAGCTTATTCATAGCCACGCCATACGCCACGGCCAAGGCGTCGATCTCACGGTAGGGAACCTCCCCAGTCAGCAGCTCCCACAGCAGCACCCCGAAGCTGCAGGCAGGGGAGAGGGAGGAGTGATGTCACAGCCCACCCCAATCCTCACCTATACCCAGCCCTGCCCTTGGTCCCATGCAGGGCCGCCCTCACCCCAACACCCACTCCCGGCCAATGAGGTCACAAGAACTTGCTTTGACCTCTGTGGCCTTGTTCTGCAATAGATGGGGTGCGCTTGGCTCTCTGATGTCTATCCTTTGCTCGGCCTCTCTTCCCTCTTCCTTACCTGAAAATCTTCAGGTCCCGTGTTCCTACTGGGCAAATCCGTCCTTCTCATTTTTATTTTTGTAGAGATGGAGGTCTCACTATGTTGCCCAGGCTGGTCTCAAACTCCTGGGCTCAAGTGATCCTCCTGCCTCGGCTTCCCAAAGTGCTGGGATTACAGGCATGAGCCACTGCACCCTGCCCAAATCCATCCTGCTCGGCCCTGGCCTTTGATGACCCCTGCGGCCTCACCTCCAAACACTCTCAGCCCATCCTAACCCCAACTTCATCTTGCAGCCACACTAAATACTGAACAGGCCCTGTTCTTTCTAACCTCTGGCCTTCACACATACTGTTCCCTTTGTGGAGAACACTCTTCCCTTGTGTAACTATTTGTCCCTCGAGTCTCAACTCAGGTTGCCCCCTACCCCGCCAAGAAGCCTTCCTTGATTCCATAGCCTCCAAAGCTAGGCCCCTCCTCTATGTTTCCCCAAAACACTCAGCACTTACCTCTAAAAACCAGCTAACATTATTTAACATTTATAAAGTGCTTACTGCAGGCCAGCCACTGTGCTAGGCACTCGGTAATCCTCACAACAGCCCTGTAAGGCAGAAGGATTTGGTATGACCCCTGCTTTATCTGATGAGCAGGTACAGGCTCAGAGAGGTAAGGGGCTTGCCCGAGGTCACACAGCTAGTGAGTGGTGGAGCCACACCTGGACTCAGGTCTGCCTGCTGCCCTGACAGTGCCCTCAGTGGCTCCATGGTACCAGGGCGTGCGTCACTGTGCTGTGGTCCCTACGAGGCTATCTTCCCCTGCAAACTCGACATCCTCCCAGATCCTGATGGCCATTCTGTGTGGTGTTTATTCTGGAGTAGATCCCTGGTCTCCCCAACTATCCACTCATGCATTCATTCAACACATATATATACTTTTTCAGACAAAGTCTCTATGGCCCAGGCTGGAGTGCAGTGGCATGATCTTGGCTCCCTGCAACCGCCGCCTCTCAGGTTCAAGTGATTCTTGTGCTTCAGTCTCCCAAGTAGCTGGGATTACAGGTGCGCACCACCACCCCAGCTAATTTTTGTATTTTTAGTAGAGATGGGGTTTCGCCATGTTGGCCAGGCTGGTCTCCAACTCCTGACCTCAGGTGATCCACCCGCCTCAGCCTCCCAAAGTGCTGGGATTACAGGCATGAGCCACTGCACCCGGCCCATTCAACGTATACTTATTAAGTGCCTACTGTGTGCCAAGCACCATTCTAGACACTGGGAAGAGATAGACACAATCACTGCCCCCATGCAGCTGGCAGCCTCCCATTCTTCAGTGACAGTGCTGGTGAACTGAGCTGGCCACATGCTGCCTGCATGCATTTTCCATTCTTTTTTTGCAGCTAAGCATGTCCACATGACCACAGTTCTGGTGCATGGGATGTAGGAGGGGGTGTAGTAGGCAACTAGCTTCCAGGAAGTGTCCTTAAAAAGAAGGGGTGCCTGGCCGGGCGCGGTGGCTCATGCCTGTAATCCCAGCACTTTGGGAGGCCAAGGCAGGTGGATCACAAGGTCAGGAGATCGAGACCATCCTGGCTAACATGGTAAAACCCCATCTCTACTAAAAATACAAAAATTAGCTGGGTGTGGTTGCTCATGCCTGTAGTCCCAGCTACTCAGGAAGCTGAGGCAGGAGAATTGCTTGAACCCCAGGGGGCGGAGCTTGCAGTGAGCTGAGATCACGCCACTGCACTCCAGCCT